GGTCTAAGGCGGGCAGGCCTCCAGCCTGGCCCGGAAGGACTCAACGGTGGGAGCCATAACTACCGGGCCAGGCAAGGCGTTCCATTGGGGGATTGTGCGAGGGAGAAGAAATATTTGTAAGCGTCTGTTCGTGCATGTATAGGTTGATATTTATGCTGGTGGCTCCCTCGGGTACGCCCTTGGGCTGGTTTGAGCAGGTTGCTGGTGGGGATCTTAATGATATTATGGGTCAGTTTATAAAAAGTTGTGAGGCGGGCCTTCCTCCTCCTTTCGGAGAGGAGAGGCCACTGAATATAGTTCAACATTTTACAATATTTACCAGTCTTTTGTCTTCTGCAGACATCTATGGAGGAGGAGACCCCTGTGAGTGAGGACAGTCTGTCTGTTCTGTCCCAGGAGATGCTGGCCCTCAGGGAGAGGTCCAACACTGTCACCAGCTACGATGAGAGTAAGGCTGCTGAAGGCAAGATCAGACACACATTTACACCTCACAGGCCACGCCAATGTAATCTGTTGGTTCTCGGATTTTTCAGAAAAGAAAAACAGGCCTTCTGTGGTAGTCTCAAATGTTACAGTCGCAGCCTTGAAGTCAATATACCAGGCTGGTTTATAATTAAAACAATGAATTTTATACTTCCTAACAAACCACTGCATTGCTCAATGCATTGAAACTAGGAAGACGATGACTTTCTACAACTATTTTGGCCAAAATGTGAGCATCTTGGAACTGGCTTGCAAATCTGAAAAAATGCAAATCCAAGAACTAAATGATTAAATAGGTGTGACCATAACATCATTTACCAGATTATTTCTGCTAGTTTTAGTTATTTTGACACTTGGTTTATTGCGCTGTACCTTCACCTGTATCATGCTTTTATTACTACTTTCTATGCAGAACATGAAACTTTGTAGAAAAGTTTTTTTCCTCTCTACTTTTGGGACATATAGACTACTTGCTACATTGTTATATGTTTTGTAGAGAATTTACAATGTTTTTAACATATGTTTATCTTGTTATTTATTATTACACATAGCTATTAAATTGCATTTGGTTTGTGACAGTACAGTCAGAGGTATTCAGAGTTCTCAGTTAACTTATAGCAGCATCAACTCAAATCTTCAGACTGTAAAGATGTGAAAAAATGCTTCTCAGAAACCAGCATAAAGACTCCAAAAATGGTACCGTGTCTAAGACTTGATGATGTTCTTCCACCCATGATATTAGTCTTACTTTTATGCAAAACTTTGAATGTGATAGAGGTAATATCGTGGTTGGAACATGGAAAAAAACTTGCAAAATGTGTAATATCAGAAACAGCAAAAACATCATAGAGAGAGCTCTGACAACTTCTGTTGTTCTGAAACTGATTTCTTGACTTTAGTTGTTCGGTTTGGTTGTAATTTTAATGATTAGTTTCCTTCCACCTGACACGCCCGCACCTGCAGGACCGCCAGGTGAGCATGCACTCTGCTTCACACCTGCCCTCACCTGCAAATCACCTGCAGGGCTCGAAATTAAGGGCGTCCCGATGGCTTCTGACCACTGAAATTTAGGACAGGACAACTAAAAAGACACTTTGGGACATTTTTGGAACAATAGAAAAATAATCAGCATCAGAATGTCAGCCTTTCTGTATATCAGGCACACTTCCTGGCTTTTGGCTCCGGAAAAGTCCCCCCACCCCAAAAAAAATTCCTGCAATTATAGTGCGCCTGGGAGTCAGAACGTAAGCAAAATGAAGTTGACTTCAAGTTGAAGTCATATAACACTTCCTGAAAAACAGGTTGGGACAATTTATACTCACTTCGGGACAATTGAAATTTATTTTTGGGACAGTATTGGGACAATCGGGAGAAAAGTTAATTTCGAGGCCTGAATCTGCTGCTGCTCTTGTACGCCGCCTCTTCTCATCCCTTGCTTTCCCCTTTATAGAGCTTTGCTTTGTTTTCAGTCCACTCTTCAGATCCACAAGGAAACAGTTAGTCAAGCAACAGGATAGATTTTGGAAACTGTCAGGCAGTTCAAGTAGCATCCACTACTTTTTCGTCACCTGACAAACTGAAAAGTCTGGATTGAAATGCCTGACACTTTTCAATATCTATCCACTGTAGTTACTTGAGTAACTTTTTCCTTGTATACCTCATTACTTGGATGTCAAACCTTCATTGACACTCTTCAGATTGTCTATTTTTGTTAGCAAAAAAAGATGTAAGGTATTGATGTAATCTGAAGAAGAAAAACTTGTATCACTGAAAAACGCGGGTGTGTTTGTGTTCCCACTAAGGCTTCAAAGATATATTCACTTTTTGAAAAAAAAAATTACTTACATAATTTTGATAGTTCACAGATTCTGAATGATGTTCATATGAGAAAGAAAGTTGAGAAAGTTGCCCGTGTTGTTAAAAGATGTACACACGAGTGACAGAGAGTTGCCCGTGTTGTTGAAGTGGTACATACAGGTAGCAGAAAGTTAAAGAAATTTGCGGATGTTTGTTCAGGCCTGAAGAAGCTGCCTCTCCAGACGCTGAACGAGGTTCTTGAGGAGCTGGAGGCGACGATTAAGGAGTACTCGGAGATCCTGATCCAGCAGCTGGCTCTCAGGGATGAGCTGGTGTACGAGAAGGAGGTACGTCTGGCGGGG